AGGTCGCGTGTTCGACTCATGCAGTCTCCAGACTTCTCGTTCTTTTTTGTTCCGCTGCTGCATCTTTTTTCTGCCACGGCTCAACTTCGGCGCGTTCTCGGGAAGGGCGAGAAAAACCCTATCGGAAGAGGAAATGCCTCGTGACCCCACCTCGTTGTTCGGAAGGAAACGATGAGAAAGCACAGCAGCTGCTGGCCGGGTCAGTCAGTCAGACAGTCAGTCAGTCAGACAGTCAGTCACAGAGGCGCTCTTCGCCGATAAGCAAGGCCAATGATACGCCTGTGCCCTCAGCTCGCTGCATCTTCGACGGCCAGCTAGCGTTGACACCACCATCCCTCCTCTTCGCTCCTGCTCCGTTCCCTTGCTTCTGTCCCGGCATCTCTTTCTGTTCTCGTCGTGTGTCCGTCAAAGCTTGCCCTGGTCCATCACAAGGGATGGCACATCTGCATCGCCTCGCGTCTCTGGCTCGATCTCCGCTTCCATGGCGCTCAAACACAGTCTTTGCAAGCACCTCGACTAGGCTGGCTGGGCCGGCTCGGTCGAGCGCGGGCGCCTTCGCAAGCAGCCGATGCATTTCTCAAGCCACAGCATCGGCTCGCCCCGACTCGGCGCATGGCCAATCCGGTCTTCGCGTCTTGCGCCTCGTCCTGGCGGGCACCGTCGTAGCCGTCGCTACCGTGTCGTTCTCCGAGCCTCTCCGACTCGACGCTCCAACTCCCGCCGCCGCCAGATCGATTGCCGATGCGCACCGCGAGGATGTTCAGCGTGAGGACGAATCGTACCGCCCGCACCGCCCGCTGCGCTTCCAGCCAGTCTCGATGCTTCTCACCAACTACGCCGTCTTCGCCCTCTGCTCCTTCTCCTCTCTCGCCAAGGTCGGCCCGAGCCTGATCGAGTGGAGCTCAAACACCTCCATCCCCTTCGTCTGGACCGCAACAGAGTACATCATCCGTCGCACCTTCTTCCGCCAATTCATCAGCGATGACACCGCAGAGGGTTCCCTGCCCTTGCTCTCGTCCCTCTCGCGCAACAACCTTGGCGCCATGCTCAACTTCTCCGTCGAGGTCACCCACAACGGCAAACCGGCATCCTCCTCCTCGTCCAACACCGACGCCAAAGCCACCGCCAAGCCCGCAGTGCACCGTCCCTTTGTTGACGAACTGCTGCACAGCATCGACGTCTCCGCTCGCCTTGCTACGCTTCCCGCCGACCATGGTGCTGCCGACACGGCCGAACTCGCCGAGCTGGCCTCGCGTCCCGATCGCTCTGGCAGCACCTTTGTCGCCATCAAGCTCTCCGGCCTCCTCTACGACTCTTCGGTCCTCGAACGCGCATCGGCTGCCATCGTGCCCCGCGAATGGTTCAGCGCGCCTCCCGAGCCGCTCCCGCCGCTCAGCATCAACGGCATGGGCCCTTGCGGTGGCCTCGCCATCCCCGTCGCCGCGCTCCCTCCCAAGGACGTCGAGGCGCTTCGCGAACTCTGGCAGGCGCTCCGCGAGATCACCGAGCGCGCCAAGCAGCACGGCAACGTCCGCCTCGCCATCGACGCCGAATACAGCTGGTACCAGCCTGCCATCGACGCCATGTACGAGGCCATCGCTGCCGAGTACAACCGTCCCGGACCGGCCGCCTCCACCAACGCCAAGTGTGGCGAAGCAGAGCCCCAGGGCAACGTCTCCGGCCCGCTCGTCTACAACACCTTCCAGGCCTACCTCCGCCGAACACCCTCCCACCTCGCCGCCTCGTTCGAGCGTGCCAAACTCAACGGATACACGCTAGGCGTCAAGCTCGTCCGCGGCGCCTACGTCGACATCGAGAATCGCATCTGGTCCGACAAGATCGTCGACGCGCCTCCCGTCCCCGGCAAGGGCGCCGACGCTCCTGCCTACGAGGGCTGGGGAAGCCCCGTGTGGCCCAACAAGGACCTCACCGACCGTTGCTACGACGGCTGCGCCATTCGCCTTGTGCAGGAGATCCATGACGACGTCGTGCGCAGTGCAAAGAAGGGCACCCAACCTAGCCTCGCCGTCGTCTTTGCCAGCCACAACACCCAGTCGGCGCTCAAGGTGATCCGCGAGATGGTTCGCCTCGGCATGGCAACGCCCGCCCCTGCACTCTGGAAGGCCGCCAGCGA